GCATCATTACTCCAGTCTTCAGTGTCACAGAAATCATTCTAATATTCTGATTTGGTGCTCAAGCATTTCTTATTATTATTACTAATGTAGGAAACAGTTGTGCTGCTGTTTGTGGAAACCATGATACATTGTTTCTGGATTCTTTGATTAATAGAAAAGCATTTGTTTTAAATAAAAGTATTTTATAATAATGTTTTTACTGTCACTTGATTAATTTCATGCATCCTTGTTGAATAAATGCATTAATTTCTTTAAAAAAATACTTTGATTTGCCTCAGTGATTTATTGTTTGTGATTTGTTTCTTTTCTCTGTTATTACTGATTGTTTCTTTTACTTAAATTTTTAAGCAATGTTTTTGTAATTGAGAAATTCTTAAAAACTACTATTTTATTTTAAAGTTTTTAAGGCCATTGTTTTATTTAAAAAGTTAAGACCGTAATATCACATTTAAAATTAATATTAAATAAATTCATTTGAAATCTTCCTGGTATGAGTAATGACTACTGACATTTTCATACTGTGACAACTCTATGCTGTACAATGTATGAGATTAGCTGTTAGCTTTTAAGTCCAAACATTCAAGAGCAAAACATGCCTTCTCTGTGGGTCCAGCAGGGGGTGGCGATAAGGCGGTGTTGCCGTTGGCAGCATCACAGAGACAGTAGCCAGGAGGTGTGCCGTGATGCACTCTGGGAGTGGGAGTGATGTCCGAGTCAGAATCAGAAACGAAAACAAAACTGCAAAGGGAGTGACAGTGGGCCAGTACAACCACGGCCTGAACGAGCTCAGCCAGAGACCAGCACTGCTCTCTTGTCTTGAGCAGAGCCTGTATGTGGGAGCGTGCCGTGAGCCAAGGCTGATGGGCCAGGACCTTGTTGATGTGATCAAGGTGCCGTAGACGTGGGGGTGCGGCCTCCAACCCCTGAAGCCATAACGGGTCTCCGCCAACACGCAGAAACTGAGCTGAGTGCAGAGACACCAGGTACCTACAGTGATGCCGCGCTGCAGCCTGAAACACAAAGACATTTTCATCAATTACACGGAGATATTATTTGAGCCTGCGATTGCCTGTAGAGCATGTTTAAGCATGTTCGTTCTGTTTTTACCATGATGGCAATGTAGTGGCGGTAGTGCAGGGGCAATGGGCCATCCATATAGAGGATGTAGTGCTGTGTGCGCAGGAAACTTTCTAGGTACTGTGGGTGAGAGGCCATCTGCTGAGACACCATGTCCAGACGCCCCCTGTTGGCCAGAGCCTTCATACACAAGAGAGAAGCACGGTCTTTCTCAGAGTTCACCATCACCTGCCAAAAAAGAACAAAACACAGCAATGAGAATCTGACAAACCAAAGGGAGATAAAAAGAGCATTTAGTGAATGAAAAATACCTATTAAGTGTGTTTTTTTTGTGGTTAATCTCAATGTAGAGCCCAATGATTCCGAATCGCGGAAAACGTGGACGGAATCCAGTCATAAAAATGGAATTTACTGTATAACGCGGAATG